TAGCATTGAGTAGTATATTGTAGGTTCAATCATCATCATCTAAGCATTATCTTAATTATTTGAGGCCAGCTATATGAATCACGTTCTTCCATCCTTCATACGTTCAATATTCATGATAAGATGTGGTAAAGTTTTACATTGGATGCCTACCTAATGCAACCTACCTCCTTTATTCGAGCTTAGGACGGGTTAAGATAAAGTTTAAAGTCCTCACCTTTATTAGACCTTATAGGCACAATACTTAGTCTATATCTTGCACGAGTGTGCCTAGTTTTGCTTAAATAGATGTTCAAAGTGTGGTTAGACTCTTTTAGGAATAAACTAGGGCATAGTTTGGATAGCATCGAAAAAACATCTAACCAATCCTAGTTCACATAGTCATCAGTCTATCTTCTCAAACCAATCCAATAGAACACAAGGCTCATTTGGTAGATTAGAACTGGCAAATAATAGGTCTAGTGTGTCGATTATAGGTTTCCCCAAGGACAAGTCATATCCCCAAGGACATGTGCACATTATCGCAATGATATAAAAATCATCTTTTTAGCATATACATGTCTTATGCCAATGAGTCACTTCCCATACATGCCTTTATCATATGTACATGCCATGTGGTGGTAACATTGAGGATTTAACCTTTGTCTTCACAAGCCTCCAACCCTCTCACAAGAGTTTGTCTTCTACCTAGCTAAACCACCATGGGGCAGCTCTAACCTCAATAAAAGGTAAACCTGAAAACTCTCTACAGTTCTACCTTATGCTCAAAGGTAAAGGTTTTGGACTCCAGTTTCGGGCAAGACCACCTAACCTAGGTGAGTCGAGCATAACGCCTCATTAGTCCCACATGGACCGCACTCCCATTAGAGTATAATATTACTATAGTGTAAGGTTTTACATGATTCAAGGCACATCTTCCAAATTGTTCACGTCAACTCACAAATCAACAAGATGTCGCTATAAAGTACTTTAATGGCATTGCGAGCACTAAAATCACCAATCATGTAAGCAACATCACGAGTGTCAGTAATTTTGTTTCTCACACTACCATCAGCCACATAAACTGAATTGAGTTCATTACAACTCCCAAAAAGTTTGGATATGGTTCAGAGCATAGTGTGAAAGTCCCACCAAAACTGTATTTATTATGTAACATTCTAGTAGTTAAAGGTTCAAAGAACAAAATTCGTTCCTATCCTAGAAAAGCACACTGGCCAAGTTCAAATTACGAGGTTTAACATTGTTCTTCACCTGATTTGAGACCCATTGAAGATCTCATTTTCAGCATGAAAGCATGGGCTTGCTTTATATATTGGAGAATAATGGGAGCTATAGTTGTTAGCAAAAGTAGGCTCACTTCTTGTCAAACCAAAAACTACGAATTTTCAAACAAAACTCAGAGTACTACCACCCGGGCCTTTGATGGCACAAGCTCCTATCAAAGTGTTCAAACTGAAAATGCCTCGGCCCAACAAACACCCAAAAGAAAACCACGTAATGCACTAATGAATCATATCGAGCATAGAATGCAGTAGACCATCCCCTAACCAATAAACTTGCATGTTCATGATTAAAACTCTACAATGAGGCACAAGCATGCTGTAATTACTGTAAGAAGAAAAGTGAATGCGCCTACAATCACGGCTGAACATCAGAAGAGAGGCTTTTAAATCATTGCATATCATACCTCTTTTGAATAATTGAATTGGAACATCCTCATAAGAACCTTCATCTCAGTTGATCCATGGAATTTAGATCCAAATTCGCAGCAAAGAGTTTTGCTATCTTTGTAGTAGACTAAAAAGGGTACGTCAACAGGGTAAAGATCTACAAATCCCACACTTTTGAACTTTAGTAATGGGGTCATGCAAACAACAAATCCATAACTGTAGCATCTGACTGAAATGGGAGTAACTAAATGTTACAGGCGGTTTCTCCTGGATTTGTACACTGATTCTTTTGTACGTTTTGTACTTGTATCTCTGTTTTACATGGAGCAGTAGAGTAATGAAAGTCATAGTTATTATGTATTTATGTAAAGAAACAAGTAAGTCTTTCCAGCTGTTTCGCTAGATGTATACACTGATTCTTTTGTACATTTTTGCAATTGTACCTGTCATTGTACATAAAAAAGTATAGTAATGAAAGTTATAGTTATCATTAAAAAAAATCCATATCCACTGTTTTGCGGACCATAAATCGGAGTGTAACAGCCCAAAAAATCTGCTTAGCTTGTCAATGCAAACTCAAGGGAGCTCAATCCAAAGAATCCCCGGCTTTTTTATTCTGAGGTTCACCAATTGAGACTATTGAGAGGCAATATTCCAAGTGGAGTGAGTCATTCTAAAAGGCATTATCTCAGTGATAATTGATGTGGTTTTACTTGGTTTTGTATTGAAAATGAAGAGCAAGAAGAGCCAAAACAATTAGAGTTTTGTTAAGAAATAGAATAGGTTAGTATGTGACAACAATACAACTTGCCCTAAATATAGCACAAGGGAACACACTGAAGGCCTAATGAAAGAAGTGAAGGACAAGATCCCTTGGGTGAAAGTTGATAGCCAAAAAGGACCTGAAGCAAACCCAAATGCAAAAGGCTTAGCAACCAATTGCCTTAATGATGTAACTGATCGGGATGGTCATGTTCCCTTAGGTGCCAAATTGAAGCTTAGAGGTGAGGGACCAAATGCAAGCTTTGAATACTCGGCCCCAATGGCGATACCCACTTCGACCAAATCAAAGAGCATTTATTTTACGGGTTCACTATCTGGATTGAACCCTGGTTTCCTCAATGCTCCAAAGCCAAACACAACCAACATATCAAATGACATCCCTTCTAAAGGGGCACCAGCTGGATTAAAGACTGGTTTTCTTAGTGCTCCAAAGCTCAAAACTCAAGTTAATCAAATGGTGATGTTCCCAAAGGTGCATTAGGTGGATTAAAACCAGGTTTCCTCATCGATCCAAAACCAAAAATGCCTAGCAAATCAAATGGGAATGCTAAAAAAGGTTCGCTAGCTGGACTAAAGCCAGGTTTCCTTAAGGATTCTGGCTTAAAGGCTCCAGTCGCCCTCTTTGAACTCAGGACCCACTTCCGATGGTTCCTTTGGTGATGACATGATTAACTAGGATAGAGATACTGTTTGGGAGTATGATGATAATGGCGATGCTTTAGTTCATGATGCTGATTGGGACTGTTTTGCTTCACTTGATCCAAGGGAGAGGCTAGAAAGATTGATTATGGCTAATATGTTAATTGATTCTGTGTATGAAAGGGAGATGCATGAGATCTTTGGGGACAACCCATATGGAGTGATTTTTGAGCCGAGTGAAAGTGAGACTGGTGAGGAGAATTCGGAGGAGATGGAGAGCGAGATTAGGGATGAATCAGAGTATGAAAGCAAGGAAGAGGATTTCCATATACTTTTCTTTCAGTCAAGACCTATGAAGAAGGGTTTTGGTAAGAAGGCATTGCTTTGGGTGGCTCTGAGGAAGGGTGTGGTCTATTCTGGCATGTATCCTCGAAAGATAATTTGGAAGAGCTTGATAAGACGGATATTTCTTTGATGATAGAGCGACTGATAGAAATTGGTTTTTGCATTTTTATTGATGGAAGTGGGCTTTCATTTGGAGACAAATTTTGTACAGAAAACAGTATACCAAGATGATGGAAGTAGGTTGCTCTGATGGTTGTTTTGGAGGAAGGCTTTGAAATGATGATAGAAATAGGCTTCTTTTCCATGGTGGTTATTTTGACTGCAATTTTTGTGCAGAATGAAGAGAATATGAATACACAACGCAATGTTACAAGTAGGTTTTTGCTTTGATCGTTTCTGAGATATTTTTTGCAGCATATTATATCTAAGGGTGGCAATAGAAGCAGGTTTCGCTATGGTGATCACTTTTGAAGCAAACTTTGCACAGAAAGACGAGTGCTGGAAATATAGATGGTAACAGATGGTAATAGTTTAACACACTCATGGCCTTGAACCATATACAAGTGTAACCTTTTTCTGTTCTTGATACACTCTTTGCAAGTGGTGTGACCTTTTCGTGTTTTAAATTTCAGTGAATTTGTCGTTTACCTCATGCACCCGTGCACACACACGCCAATCACTTCTTAAAGAGAGAACCATGAAGGACCAAACTACCATTTCCTTTTTTTAGTAACTACGCATATGTGATGTAGAACAATTTGGTTTATGATTGTAAACCCATTTAGCGCTTGAGTTGATTAATTACGGTGTTGATGAATGCAACAATATTTCCCAAGTTCAGATCCTACCACAGATTTACCTAAAAAACAGAGGCTGCGATTTGCATTAGGTGGCAACCTTACATGTAGAAGTAAGGTTGTGGTTGGGTGGCAACCTGGACCCGATCTGACTACGTTTCACACCGACCCAGACGCAACCTAGGTCTAGGTCGGATCAAAGTAACTTGGACCAGATCTGGATTGGGTCCAAGTCATTTTGGGGACCAAGTACAACGCAAAATCTGTACTCTTTCCCAATCACAAAGCTCTGGACCTCACTTATCCTATTCCACTCATGTATTTTAAACATCTGGAGTTGAGAATGGGAGTTGAACTCTATGAGATCTAATCTCCCGTTGTTCCTCAGTAGCTAAGTGGTAGAGCGGTCGGCTGTTAACTGACTGGTCGTAGGTTCGAATCCTACTTGGGGACATTTACTCCTAGTAATAATCAAATATTAAATTCTTCCCCAAACGACTCACAAATGCAATCTTCATAGAACTCTTCTGTGCATGCCAACCGACCCCTCCCTCTCTCTCTCTACCAAAAAAATGTGAACAGCAGTAGTACCTGCATTAGTGCAATCCATCTCCATCTCTTCCCTATAATATAGAGGGCTTCAGCCACTTTATCGTCTTGCCTTTGTGCATTGAGGGCACATGAGAACCACATAATCCAAGCAATAGAACTGCAATCCCTCACTCTTCCCACGCCCACAAATATAGAGAGAGAGAGAGAGACAGAGAGGTCATTCCCAAAATCAAGCTTCTCGCAGCAAATCACCTTCAGATAGTATTATAATCAGCCATTTAGGCATTTCTCAGTACATAAGCAATTTTCTAACTTGCATACATGAAAGTGCTTTTTCTTTTTCCCCAATCAGCCATATTGATTATGTATATTGACACCTTCAACAAGGGACCAACACCACTTCAAGAACAATAAAGGGGAGTGGTATTAGGCTTATACAAGAATGGCTTGAGACTGTGAGAATAACCAGAAGGTCGGCTATAAGAGAAGTGGATGGCTCGATTGGAGTTGCTCAGTTGGGTGCAATGGTGGTGGAAGCTACTGATTGGCCTTGCTAAGCATGAATCCCATCGGTTACTCTCAGGCATTGTCTCAGCCACTGAGTAGACGCCTTTCGAATTGGTGAATGCTTGGTAATTAAGAACCTCCCCAGACTTGGTAATGCACAGCACAGCCACCTCCGCACCTATGAGAGATAAGATGGTAATTTAATAGTACTTAATAACATTTACAATAAAAAATAAAATGGTAAGAAGAAACGGGTGGTTGACAAAGAACAGAGATGGGCGGTACACATTGTCTCACATAAGTACTAGAGAGGGAATGTATCATACAAATCTCACTCAGTGGCTTGGCAAAGCAGATCCATATCTTTATGAGAATGACAGAAAAAAGACCAATGAGACAAGCATAAATAACATAAGATATAGGCCAAAAAAAGCAGATGGCACCCATAAAATTGATATCCCAGTGTTTGTTCTTGCGATAGACAAATTGGAAAATTTTGAATTCTTATTCTATTAATTTGAACTGAAATTACCGAATAAGATCAAGGCCAGTATTTTGAATACCCCAAGCCATCATAAGTCAAGCATCCAGCGATATGTGATTATGCTAAGACAAATAAAATGGAGAATCCAACAACATAAATAAGACTCCTCCGACCTGACTCCCTACCCTCCTTTGATAACCATATATCCGAACCTCTCTCCTTCCCTTCCCTCATGTGATAAGCATAAATTCGAACCTTTCCCTTTAATAATGAGTTATAATGGAAACACTCTGTCCCTTTCAGGTAGATCAGAAACCACCCCATCTCTCTCTCTCTCTCTCTGGTAGATCAGAAACCACTCCATCTCTCTCTCTCTCTCTCTCTCTCTACACAGATGCGCAAGGGCCCCTCAAGGTTCTTGATAGGATTTCAGAACCGTCTTTTGTGCGGAAACTAAACGTGGATCTCACTAGGGTGGTGTACTTAACACATACCCAAAACACAGATTTACGTGGTTCACCCCAAAAGTGCTACATCCATAGGCATGGCAAATCAAAATCTACAATATAAATGAGAGTCACATCACAACTTTTGGGACACAAAGCTACCCCCTCTCTATCCTTGGACAAAACCATTGAGCAACCATTTTAGACCAGCTCTCCTGACCAACATCAGCCAATCACTTATATCAACAAGCCAGTGAGTGACGGCTGTAGGGTGTGCCCAAGCCTTCCTGTTAGTGGAAGCAATCATCAAGCGCAAATAAGAAAGTGAAAACCATGGAAGTTCATACTTATACCATATGGTGTGCCCAAGCCTTTCAGTTATGGAAAGCAATCATCAAAGCCCACATAAGAAAGAATGTGAAAACCATGGAAGTTCAAACTTATATCACCCCACATGAGAAGCATGACGAGAATTCTGCAGTTGACCTCTCTTATAAGCACAAAGACAAACAGAGGGCGTCCTAGCATTGAGTTTCTACTGTAAACATTGAGGATTAAAATGTGGGACTGCTTAAGGAGTGAGAAGGCTTCTTGGAGTTCCCTATAGTGGTGATGGTTTCCATAGTGTGTGAGTTCAACCTCGTTCACTCTGTATATTTACCTGCAGTTAACTTTTCTAAAGAAGATCATGAATAGCTTCAGGATTTCAAATCCAAGTAGAATGATGAACTATTGCTAGCCTTGAGTTTATACATTCCTAAAACTAATTACTGGATCTAAAAAATAGAATGCCAGATATATACTACATGGAACATGAAGCTTTACAAAAAAGCCAAAGCTCAGTGCTATTTCCAAAACTCAGCAAAAAGTTTAATCTCATAGACAAACTGCCAACTATAATCTATAAACAAGTCTTAGAATCAGAATCCAGTTCTATGGAAACCCAAACAAAACCTCAAAAATCAAAGTTCACAAAGGTGGCATCACCAATGGAAATTCTTCACCTAAATAAACCTTGAGTTCGAAACCACTTTGACAAATCCTGAATTCATGTTTTCATTTTGTATACATTAATTCCTAATTCCATATCTTGGTTTGCCTTTGCAAATGATCATATAACAACCAAAGATTTTTTAAAAAACAATCATGACATAACGAAGCTAGAATTCTATGACCACTGACAGCATGGTTCACCATCTTAAACTACAAAAAAAGAGGCCCCGATATAATAATCTTTATCAAATCCAACAGAACTCATGAAAACCAGTACAGTTCACAACATAGCAATGAAATCACGGACCCCTCGACGAAGCCCTAAACCCAAAAATCAATGAAATTGTAATCAGAAAATAAAAGAAAACCCAAGATTTCTCAAGATGAACACAAAACAAAACTCAGAATTAGTCAAAACGAGAAAAACCTCAAGGAATTGTCGAACATGATCCATAATAATAAATTAAGGCCTGGATTCAAGATGAGATGAACACAAAATAGAGAACTTCTTCCCAATTACCTTCCAAGATGTGATCTTCAGGTCCAATAGATGAATCAGCACAAACATCACACATCACTCTCCCATTGATTTCCCCTGTCCATGCTCTTGCCCAACCAATCATCACAAAAACACAGAAGAATTTCACCACCATTACTATCTTCATCTCCATACTCTTCTGACTATGAAGAGTGCAGTCTTGCTCGGTCCTTGGTTATTTCTGCATCTGTACCTATTTATAGCCCGACGAACTTCCCTCTTTTGACTTAAAAAAAGTATAGGGAAATGACCTTGTGAGGCCTACACCCGAATCAAACGATCGCTCTTAAATTTGATATAAATCTATAAAAAAAGGTCAAGTCCGTCTTTCAAATAACTTATCTGTACTAAATTTAATGATAATCTTTTAAATTCTTATATACATGAAAGTGAACGAGTTTCATAAAATCATTACTCAAAACTTAATATATCTTCAATGTTGTCGTGCATCAAGTTTGAGCAGCTGCCAACTCACCTCAATACTAAAAATCTTTGTGACCGCCTTAAAAATATAGGGAAATTGTCACTAATATACTTTAATTTTAAAAAAATCGTAAAAAAAACTTTTAACTTACCAAAACCTCGTCCACACTTTTTTTTACTTAATTTTTGGCATTTTTTAGACAAAAATATCGGTAATAGTGTAAAGATACATTCAAGTACCGTAATGAACATTACAGTAATTTAAATACCGTAAAGAACATTGCGCTATTTTAATTACCGTAATACATAATATATTCTTCACAACATTCTTAGTACCATAATGCTTTGAAAAGTTTTTTTCTTTCAGAGAAAAAAAAATGATTCTACAAATTCCTAGAGAGAAAAATAGCTTGGATAACAATGTCAAGAATCATTTGTATAGGGTCCTGAACAAGGCAAAGAGTTACAACAAATGTAAAAACATTACTAGGGTAGAGAGGAACTTGAAGCAAATAGCATGTGCCAAAGGTATCCGCATAAACCAAAACAAGAAACTATCGTAAGCTCTCCTCATATGATGACCACTTGTATTCAACTTTCCGCAAGGCTTCAAGGACCAATCTGAAATGAGTCTCCCACACATACAGCTTGGGCACCTTCATGTTAACAAGAGCCTCAATAGTGGCTTTCAGCCTCTTATCTTGTGCCATCATAAACTTAGTCTGAAACTTATGCTGAAGTTTTGCCAGAGGAGAGTTACAAAGTACGGTGAGTACTATCACAACAAAGTAGAAATTGTTGCGACTCCTACTGAATTCAAGAGAGTTGCTAATGTGATGCAAATTTGGAGGCTTGTTGTCTATGTCTGACGAAACCAATATGGGAATTCCCCAATCCTATATGCATTACATAGTTCAATTATTGCGCCTGCTGATTGCATAAGTTTTCCCTTATTCGAGAGTCTCAATTGCTTTTGATAAACAACTGCTAACAGCACGGATCTGAGTTTGAGATCAATCCCCTGCAAAATACCCACATGGTTGAGTTCCTCTCTTTCGCTTTCTAAAAATATGTTTCGAGTTCCTATATTTCTCTCTCTATGAATTTGTAGAACCATTTTTTTTTTTTTACAAAATACCCTCATGGTGGTGGGTAATCTGTATAAGGTATACACGTTAAGAAAAAAAAAAAAAATTGTATCTCTTGGTTTTGATTTTGCAGAGCGTGGTAGGAGGAGATGGGTAGCTCTGATGTTAGCTTCAGTTTGAAGCTTTTCAAAGCATTACGGTTTAATTTCGTATAGCATGGGAGGAGAGGGGTAGATATGATATGAGCTTCGGTTTGAAGCTTTTTAAAGCATTACGGTACTAAGAATGTCATGCAGAATATATTATGTATTACGGTCAATGATTTAAAAATCGTCGAGTCGAATCGGACTTGCTCGGTTCGACTCGAGAATCGGCACAGGCCGTGCCGATTCCAGCACAAAACCGAGAACCGCCCTGTTCCAGAGCAGAACCACCGGTTCTCTCCCAGTTCTAGCGGTTCCCCCCCCCTTGGTTCTAGCCGGTTCCCTCCCGGTTCTAGCCTTCACACTTGTGTACGGGTCACGCGTGCCACACACACCACTCACACACGTGTGTACGTGTGACACGAACAGTACACACTCCCACACGTGCCACACACACATACACGCACGTGTGTGCATCACAAGTGCCACACGTACCACTCCCACACGTGTGTACGTGTGACACAAGCGGTACACACTCCTACACGTGAACACACACGTGTGTACGTGTGACACAAGCGATACACACTCCCACACGTACCACATGCACATACACGCACGTGTGTGCATCACGCGTGCCACACGCACCACTCTCATACGTGTGTACGTGTGATACGAGCCGTACACACTCCCACACGTGCACCAGTTCAAGCCTCAAAAACACCTTCACATGTGCGTACGCGTCACACGTACGACACACCACTCCCACATGTGCCACACGTGCGACACACACCACTCCCACATGTGCCACATGTGCGACATGCACATACATGTCACACATGCGACACACACATACATGCCACACATGCGACAAACACCACTCCCACATGTGCCACGTGTACGACACGTCGCACCACTCCCACATGTGTGTAAGTGTGATACGAGCCGTACACACTCCCACATGTGCACGCACATGTGTGCATCACGAGTGCCACACGCGCCACTCCCACACGTGTGTACGTGTAACACAAGCCATACACAGTCTCCCACACGTGCACCGGTTTAAGCCTCAAAACACTTTCACACGTGTGTACGCGTCACACGTGCGACACACATGTGACACACGTGCGACACGCATATACATGTCACACATGCAACACACACCACTCCCACATGTGTCTCACGCGTGCACCGGTTCAAGCCTCATGCAACACACCACTCCCACATGTGACACACGTACGACACGCACATACATGTCACACATGCGACACATACGACCGCACATACATGTCACACATGTGTGCCACACGTGCGACACACATCACTCCCACTATGCCACACATGCGACACATGCCACTTCCACATGTGCGTGCACATGCCTGTGTGCATGTGCACTGATGCCCTAGAGTTTTCACACTTGTATTAATCTTTCAATTACATAGTTATTTATATAGCATATTTGAATACTCATCATTCGATGTGGGATAATTCCCAAACATCATTAAATGAAAACATAATGTAAATATATACTATTAATAGGCAATTTTAAACCAAATCTTTTACTTTATTTATTAATTTTTACATTATAAATCGTGTAATGTACTATTTTTCTTACAGTTGTCAATAATACTTCTTAAATTAGATAATATTATAAAATATTTTTAATTTGTTATTATTTATCTAATAAAATAATTATAAAATGTAAACTAATAATTATAATTTCAGTATATAATATTATAATTAGTTAGGTTGTAATAATTTTGGATTGTAGTTAGTTAGGTTGTAATAATTTGGGTTTTTTTAGCGGATTAGGGTTTTTTTACCAAAACGAGATTTTAATGGCCATTCTTTCATTGATTCAGTCTATTCTTTATTATAGTCCATGTATAATTATATATTTTATCCATGATAATGCTATGATTTTTTTTTTATGTGATGCAAATTTAATACTTAAGTTTATACAGAGAAAGAGCATCTCAATATTCACAAATTGATAAAAAAACTGAAAGTTAATAATGTAGTACCCTCATTTCTTATTGGATTCCTAAAAAACAACATTTATAATGAATTTTAATAATTTTTTCGGATTTTTTTGAAGCTTTAATCCGACCGATTCAGCCGATTCCCGATTTGGATCGCCGATTCGTCAATTCAGATCGGTTTTTGAGGTGGCCGATCCAAGTCACCGATCCGCTTTTTAAATCATTAATTACAGTAATTAAAGTATCGTAATGTTCTTTAAATTATTGTAATGTTCATTACAAAAGTCGAAGTATCGTAATGTATCTTCACATTCTACCGTAATACACTCATTCAAAATGTATTACGGTAGAAAGACTACCGTAAAGGGTATTTCGTCTAAAAAATCCTAAACATTGGGAAAAAGGGTGTGGGCGAGGTTTTGGGAAGTTGGGGTTTTTTTTACGATTTTCTTAAAATTAAGGTATAATAGCGATAATTTCTCTAAAATATATTTTTATATTTAATTATAAAATTTAAGCTCCAAAAATAGTGTAGATCAAGCATATCTATGAAATCTTGAAAATTAATAGTAAAAAATGCATTACAAGATACTCTATTTCTAAAACTTAGAATCATTTTTTTTCTCATGTCTATGTATCTTGAGGTCGAGATGATCAATTTGACGATATTTGGGCATCAAAACAAACCTCGTCCACTCAAATTTTTGATGTGCATCCTAATTTGATTGTTTAGAGCCTTGTACTTATATAAACTTTTTTATTTTGAAAAACTTTCTAATTGACTATATCAACATCGAGATTTATAGAAATATAGAAAGTTTTTTAGTCCTAAAAGTTAGTGCATCTTGTAATAAATTATCTAGACCGTCTATTTTCAAGATTTTCATGTGTTTATAGATATACTTGATTTGAATTATTTCTAGATTTTAAAATTTTATAATTAGGTATGAAAATAGATTCTCATGCCTTTCTTAAAAATTCTTGACACCAAAATTACATCTTATGATTGTTTAATGTTGCAGCCAATGTTGCAGCCTTATACCAGCCACACCTAAGTTATAAACACACATATCACAAAGCAAACCAAGTATAAATGTGAAGCTATTATCTGATGATAAAGAAGCCAAGATTTTAGTCTTCCATGCAAGCATTTCCCCCTTTCTCTAATTAACCTCTTGGAACCTTTTTCAAAAATGAGAAAAAAAAAAAAAATGAAAAATAAACTTGTATGTGCATGAAAAAAATATATTCTTGAGATTAAATATAGATGGTTTGAATTTTGGTTACGGTTTTACGTTGTCCACTTTAGTTAAATGGTATAGATTTGATACATCTTTTAATACAATATCAAAAAGTAGTATGTCTTTTAAGATAATTTCAAGCCTACATAAAATAAATAGCATGTACAATCTTATATAAAAATCATATTAATGAAAAACTCAAAATTTATATTTTAGATAATTTTTCGATGATTATTTTATGGAACCTAAAATTTTAGATCAAACAAAATACATGAATATGCAATAAAAAAGAGAACATAACAAGTTTCTCCCTCTATAATGGGTCGCAGTGTATCCATCTCAAACATGCAAAGTTTCAAT